TAATCATTTACCGTTTCTATTGGTGTCACAATGATGCGAATACCAAAAGTTCTCAATGATTCCTCTAAAGCAACACGTTTCTGAATTGGGATTAACAGAAGGATTTTCTGGTTTTTAAATTTTTAGAAAATCCACTGCCAGCCCTCCAGATTGTTGGCGTTCACCTTGCATCGACAAAGTGCAGAGACATGCTTCAAGCCATACAGGCCCCTAACATAAAGCTTACAGTTCATGCAGAGATATTGAAATTAGTGGGGCATTCGAATAATATTTGAACTTCATTAGTCCAAACAGCGGTGTGGTGGGAAAAATGAAAACACTTTTCGAAAGTCTGCCAACTACTGGGGCAAAACGGCATGTCCTTTGTACGTTTAAGCCAGGCCTGTGGAGATGGGGAAGGGGGCGAACAAAGGGACATTCCTTCAATTTTTTGACAGTCTGAATCTCAAAACAACTTTTTGAGTTTGCTAACTTTAGCGGCTTTTCAAATAAACTCAAGAGACGAGTTTCTGGTTGCAACACAAGTAACTTCGAGAATTTATCCCGTGGAATCATTTACAGTGTCTCAGTCATGGTTTACACCTACCAAACCGCCGTTTGCCGAGAGAACCAGGATTCCACAAACTAATCCAAAATGTTGAGACGGAAAAAAGATTTAGTAAAAGTCTGAGGACGCTGTTTGTTAGACGAACATTCCGAAGTGTGCTCCCAGTGGTCATCTGTTTGACAGGTCCTTTTATTGCGTATTTGATGATGTTTCAAAGCTTACCGGAACTTTCAGTCAGGATAGGCTCCATTAGAGACCGTTATTTAAGAACGTTTCCAGAAGCCAGCAAAGTGCTTAGCCCAGTCTTGTCAAAACTGACGCGTACTTAGAACAACAGGTTGCGAAATTTATGCATTTGAGACGTTTTGTAAAAGAGGCTGTTATTTTCAAAGCGAAGTGAGCGTTCGCGGCAAAAAAGACAGTGATCGTGTTTTCAGTTTAAGAAGACTTCATGCCGATGTGTGGATGAAATTATATCGCGCCTTCATGGGGTCATGTCTGGAACAGTGCATGCACAATTAGTCATTTGTAAGTACCGGTGTTCCTGCGTTATGGTCTCTCATGACCAGACATTTGGCTTTGAATAAACTTATTTGTAAACAAAACAGGATAAAATGAGATAGCTTACCTGAGACATATGAAGTTAAGAACAAAACTAATGAAGTCTGAGGATTGCTGGGCTGAAATTAGTTGGTAAATG